AAATAGGGAGAGAGTGGGAGGCGGATAGAAGATGGATAGGTGGAGAGGAAACAAACAGGTCGAAGAGGCGGGGATGGAGCCAGTAAAGGTGAGTGTAGGTAGGGAGTTAGGAAGGGGATAGGTCAGTCCAGGGAGGACGGACAGGTCAAGGGGGCGGGATGAGGTTGGTCGGTAGGAGATGGAGGTGCGGCTTGAGGTGGGAGGAGGGGATAGGTGGGAGGAAGAACAGGTTAGGGAGGCAGGGACGAGCTGGACTGGTTTTGGGATGCGGTGGGGGGAGGGGAGATTTTGAAACTTGTGAAATCCACATTGATACCATTGGGCTGCAGGGTTCCCAAGCGGAATATGAGTTGCTGTTCCTGCAACCTTCGGGTGGCATCGTTGTGGCACTGCAGGAGGCCCAGGATGGACATGTCGTCTGAGGAATGGGAGGGGGAGTTGAAATGGTTCGCGACTGGGAGGTGCAGTTGTTTGTTGCGAACCGAGCGTAGGTGTTCTGCAAAGCGGTCCCCGAGTCTCCGCTTGGTTTCCCCGATGTAGAGGAAGCCACACCGGGTACAGCGGATGCAGTATACCACATTGGCAGATGTGCAGGTGAACATCTGCTTGATGTGGAAAGTCTTCTTGGGGCCTGGGATGGGGGTGAGGGAGGAGGTATGGGGGCAGGTGTAGCACTTCCTGCGGTTGCAGGGAAAAGTGCCGGGTGTGGTGGAGCTGGAGGGGAGTGTGGAGCGGACAAGGGAGTCACGGAGAGAGTTGTCCCTCCGGAAAGCAGATAAAGGTGGGGAGGGAAAGATGTCTTTGGTGGTGGGGTCGGATTGCAGATGGCGGAAGTGTCGGAGGATGATGCGTTGGATCCGGAGGTTGGTGGGGTGGTACGTGAGGACGAGGGGGATTCTTTTTTGGTTTTTATTGCGTGGACGGGGTGTGAGGGATGAGGTGCGGGAGATGTGGGAGACACGGTTGAGGGCGTTCTCGACCACCGAGGAGGGGAAGTTACGGTCCTTGAAAAACGAGGACAACTGAGATGTACGGGAGTGGAATGCCTCATCCTGGGAGCAGATGCGGCGGAGGCGAAGGAATTGGGAATAGGGGATAGCATTTTTGCAGGAAGGTGGGTGGGAGGAGGAGTATTCTAGGTAGCTGTGGGAGTCGGTGGGCTTGAAATGAATATCGGTTTC